GTTGACTAAAAACCAGTACTTTCTTATAAAATATTGAAGACCAAATATTGAAAATTTTAATTTTCAAATGCTTTTTTATTCTGCCATTTTTTTTTTTTTTAATTAAACAAGGCTCTGGATGAGAGATCTCCTTCCATAAACAACCTAATTAATTGAAACAAGCCAGAAGAGGTGCTTCTGACTACGGTCCTTCCTCATGTCTGACATTATTTATTATTTCTTGTATTTTCATCACATTTGCTGAACGTCAACATGAACTTGAGAGGGGCGAATAAATATTTAAAGACAAAAAAAAAAAAACTATGTCAAATATTTTAGCACCAGTATATTTATATTTTTTAAGGGAATGATCGGACTATTCTAAGTAAATTCCGATAGTTATCGTATGAGGATTTGATGGCAAAACCTGATAAACGGGTTACATTTCATTCTAGCGTCATAAAGGTCAAGATTTATTCTTTGGGTACAAAAGAAATAAATATTAATGTCTATAACCTGGAATCAAATTAGTATCCGTTTTGGTTTCTGTACGCTAGGTCACCTTCAGTAAAAAATATTTAAGTTGTATTTTGAATTCATTTGTGTTTACGTTAGGCAGCGGCTTTTGGAAGAATGAAATAGGAGCAACAAGTTCCTTATGTCTATGGTTTGTAATGGAACGCCTTTCTCAAGCTCAAGAAGAGATAACCTTTCTCGCCTCCTTCAGATAATATTGTTCGCTCTTTTAAGCCAATCAGAAACTTGAACATAAAGTCTAGGAAAGCAGTCTTCCCGTTTCTCTTATGTTCTCCGTTTTAACGAAGCTGTTACATTCAACAGTAATCGCTTAGTTTCAGTATTTTGTAGCGGTCATTAAAAGTTTTATGACGCAGAGATAAAGCGAAGAGAACTTCTTTTTCTTTTTTTTACAGCTACATTGGTTCTATTAAAAATAAGTTTATGTCTGGGTGATCACAAAGCAGCTGGATTGTTTTTTGTTTATTGGAAGCTGACTGATGTCTTTTTTTTTTTAGAACGAAGCAATTCCAGTTGCCAAATTGGCTGTATCATTCAAACGAATTTAAAGGCGCTGTTTACGAGTTCATCCGGGCGACCGGTATTTAGCTTCTAATCCGAAAACAACTATCAAATGTTATATACACAAATATGATATTTTTTTTATTACACTTTTTTAAAAATTAAGAATGGTTGTTAAAGTATATAGAACCATATTGTTACCTAAAACATTTTATTTAGAAAGGTCATACCTAACAAGGACTGTTTTTTTATTTTTTTTTAGTACCGTAGGCAGTTTTCATGCTAAAAATGTTTCTTTTCATGTTCAGAGGAAGTTTACTTCATCTTAAATATAATAATAATACATTGTAGTAAAGAAAAAAAAAATTAAATCGATTTTTGTTTGGGTCCTTCTTTTATCTTAAATTATTAACTAAAATATCCTGAAGATAGTAAAGAAAGTCAACAATAAATGTAGGAATGCCTAGCTGCAAGAACGTGTATTTTCTAGGCAACATTTCGTTAATTTTATATCAAAATGACTTAAACCTACGATTTAGTTAATAGTTTATTTTATTTATTATTTAATATTTTATATTATAAGAACAAGAACAGTAATAAAATCCTAAGTTAATGGTACATAAATTTTTGTTGTTGTATGTTTACAGAATCTGTCCAAGAAAGTGTTAACAAATCACTTTGGATTTCAAACTAGTGTTGAATTTTATTTTTTTTAACAGTTAGTACTGTGATTTCGATATTGTTTAATGTCTTCCTTCATTTCTTATGTTAAAAACAAATGCATAAGAAGTGTATATTAGTGATTTGAAAATTTTCTTTTCCATTTCTCACGTATAATATATAATAAATTACATGAAATAAAAAAAAATATATAAAATACAAAAAATATAATTATGAAATAAAAAATACCAAAGAAGTAGATTTAATAAAATTTTTTTTAGTAATTTAGACGATACGAAGTTTTACTACCTTATAAATGTGGACGATTTACGGAAATTATCAATGCAATGGGATAACGTTTGGATTTCCCTTTCACATATGATTTTTACGGACCTTGCCATTTTATGACATGTCTATTTCCGTCAATTATAATACGTTGTTAAAAGTAAGGATTAATAAATTTCAATAATTATTCATTCATAATTTTTTGTTCCCAAAGCATTTATAAAATTAAAGGACAGAAATATTTCAATCAGTGAAGGTTACGAAGATGTTTGTTATCAAAAGCTCTTTGGATCAAGAGGGGTCAAGAACATACAGATTACGGCTTCTTAAATGCCGATGAAACAAACGAAACTTAGAACAGGTGTAATTCAATTCATTGATTTCATTGGAGTCAACATATTATTTGAGTCTTATAGTATACTCTTCAATAAACAAAACCAAATTTCACAATAAATTAACTAAATGAAATATTACCAAATAATGGCATAATTTATTGTAGTTGAAGATTTGTAGAGAGAGAAAAACTTTATTTTCATAAAAACATAAAATATAAAAGATTGTTGCCCAATTATATTGGGTTGCTATATACACAGCATGCTCTTCAATCCTAAGGACAATAAATGAACTTATATATAAATATACAGAAGTATTAGTCTATATTACTAAAATAGATATTTCATATTTTAATTAAATTAAAATATGAAAATTTTCTATTCAAACAATATTTACTGATTAATTTTAAAAGCATATGATCCTAGGAAATGTTAAGTTTTATAATAAAAAGTGATTAAGTAACATTCCATAAAATTATATTACTAAAAACTTTGATGAATTTTTCCTCTGTGAAATCAAAACATTGTGTACTTTAGTGTAATTAAAATATAAACTATATTCAATATGTAAAAGACGTGTCATTTTTATGTACAAAGATTTTACTCTTAATCATTTAATGTTACATATATATTTTATATACTTTTATGTATACAAAAAAAAAAAAAAAAAAAATATATATATATATATATATATATATAACTTTTATCAGAATGTATATTTATTCTTCATTTAAATTCCTATAAAAATTGCTATTTATTGAGGTATATAAGTAAGATTTGATTCAAACAGTATTTATTCTCCCAATAATTTTTCATTATTTTATTATGACGTTTCGGGATCCACTTTCTTATCCCATCTGCAGACTAGAAATTAGAATATTTTTGTTATTTATATTTATATACTAGCAATACAATATTTTTTATATAACGTTTAACAACAACAACAGAAATTGCCAATTTTACCATTATCTCGTCCTAGTATCATATTTTTATAAGATTTGTCATAATTATTTTTTTTTTAATATTATTATATTTCATTCATAAAATGCAATAATTTTATGTTTTTATTTCTTATATTATTACTAAACAATATAAAAATAATTATGACAAATCTTATAAAAAACTAAGATGATATTAGGATGAGATACTGGTAAGATTGGCAATTTCTGTTATTGTTGTTAAAAGTTATATAAAAAATATTGTATTGATAGTATAAAAATATAAATAACAAAAATATTCTAATTTCTGGTCTGAAGATGGATTAAGAAAGTGAATCCGGAAACGTCATAATAAAATAATGAAAAATTTTTGGTAGAATAAATACTGTTATCAAATCTTACTTATATACCTCAGAAAATAAGTATCACCCTTAGGACTTATGAAGAAATTGCTATTTATATGTCTTGTCAAACTTCAACATAAAATTTGTACGGATTATTAAATAATTTGAAATTTTTTTATATACTTTGTACTAGTACTTCTTATTTCCGTTACTTACTACTTCACTACTTACGTACTTCTTTTATCCGCATTAAATTCAGATTACACGTATTTATTCCATACACTTGTAATTAATTAATTTTACACTATTTAAAGGAAATTTTTTTAGTTCTTTTTTCCTGTGGTTTAACCGTAAAAAAGTACTATCCGAAAGCTGACCAATTAAGACTTTAGGAAATTTAGGAAAACAAAATGGTTTTAAGTCGATTCCGATAAGTCTTAATGTTTGTTCCTGCGCTTTATTTAAAATGACTGTTTACGGTATTTAACTGGAAAACTGAGCAGTATTATTATAGTTATTATCGTAATTAACTACAGTATATTAGATTTATTGAACTTTGTAGTTAATGCTACGTTCCTGTGGATTACCAGCACGGTTTTATAAACTTTAAAGCCTATCTTAACAAACGCAATACCATTTTTTTCTGATGTCAGAGTGAAACAAACAGTCAAACATTAATTTTACACATTAAAGTAGATCAATTATTGATCTATCAATTGACATATCCAAAAAAAACCTAATTTATAATAAAACATGAAAAAAGCCTTATTGATTTAATTGTATCATTCGATTATTGTAAATTTTATCTGAATAGATATTTTCGTTTCAACACTCACAGAGTCATTAATTGTAATGTTTGTTCCGAAGATATTGATAATAGAAATCGTAATCGAGATTAGATGGGGAAAAAAATATTCCTAAATTCTTTTAGGCCATTTCGATCTTGTAAATACATAATCTCAGCATATCCCGTTTGCGAATGGGAAGAAACCAGGTATGGATCAACTATGCAACTGCACTCGCGTGAAATCGTTTTGTATACTGTCTGGATGTATTGAGGTGAGCTTACGGTACAAATTCCATTGCTTCTTTAAAGTGATGTACTACAATGCACTAGCAATAAACAGTAATGAAATCCTGGGTGTTGATTAAACAATGTGATATTTTTACATCACAATCTATTTATTACTTTACGCGAGTTTAATATTCACATGTAAACATAATATTACAGAGAATCCCTATCGGTAGGTAGCCAAACAAGAAAATGGCAGGGAAACCTGATCTACGACAAAAATATCAACAAAAGACCATATAAGGCCTAAGCCGGGACGGAGACGGCCTTGAAGGGCCTGGAGCCGTGCTTGCTGGCAAGCATGGGACTAAGCATGAAGAGTACTTATTGAGCAGAGATGGACGGTACTTACTCGACATGACGACTGGTTGGGATGTGGTCTCCTACTGATTCCTCTTGAGGGCACTATTAATAACAAAGGCCGTCCCCACTCTACCTGAGGCGTAGCCGCGACTGACCCCTCCAACGGCACTCCTCCTGTAATATACTACTGCTCCTTATCAGGTCCCCACCTACTGTCAACGCCAGTGTCTTCTCACAATACCATGTCTTTAGCGTTCGTTCTGAAGACCGTTTGTTTACTTGCTCAGCAAATACCAATGAGATTCAGGCATAAAAGTATTCTCCACTCTCTTTCTTGGGCGTTTACTTATCTATTCAGGGAGAGACTGTCAAATCAAAAAATATAATACTAAAATAAAGACACTGTACAATATCTACAAACCCGGCTCGAGAACCCCTAAACCCGATCTATCCCAAACGTGTGAAAGGTAAAACAGGCCTTTTGAGATCACAGCCACTAGCGGATCGAGGATTTAATTTTTTTTTTGGAGGGGAGGAGGGCTTCAGCCCGAAAGCTTTTTTTCCATAAAAATAACGATAATTACTTTGGAAAAAAAGAAAGGAACTAACTACGTATATGAAATGGTGTTTAAGTGATTTCTAAAATCCTTCTAAATGTAATTACACGAACAATAATACTTTAAGAGATATTTTTCCCATAAAACATGGTTATATTTTACCATTTTGGGGAGGGAGCTTCAGCCACAAAACCGCCCTCCTCCCCCGGTAGATCCGCCCGTTATCACAGCGTATCTCTCTAACTGCGTTCCTGGTATAGAGCCAGTGGAGACTGAAAAACATTATTACTTGCTAATGTGAAGTTTATTACTTTATTTTTAATTAAATTTAGATAGATAGGTAGTTAGAAATATATTCTTTATTCTGGAACGAAGTCCCTTAAGAATAACATAATGTTACAGAAAAAAATTACATCTGATCAAAAAAAACTATTACATTAAAAAATAGATAATTTACTGGGTACATGTCCGACGACTCCGTATACTGTAGATCCGGAGAGTTCTCCAAACTTATTAGACTAAGACATGTACTTTTCGTCCTAAGGGCCACGGTCATTATTGCATAAATAGGCAGTAAACCAACACTGTAAGAAGAAGGGAGATGGGCAATTAAATAATATCTTGTTTAACCTTGAGTGTGGGCAGACAGTCAATACAAGAAACGAAAAATGTTTGAAATTTCAGAATAAAAACACACGACTAATCAGAAAAAAAAATACCACGAGTATTTTCTAATTTTAAAATTTCTACGTGGCAATGGAACAAGTCGGCATACAACCAAAATTAATCTAACTTGTAACATGCTCATTGAGGAAATCCCAGCAGGATTCAAATTAATGAAAATTTGGGCCAACCGATAGCAGTCAGGTCAGGAGTCACACCGATCCCTCCTCTGAAGTTCTACTCAGTAACGCCCTTCAGTTTATAGTGAAAAGAGCGTAGTTCGATTAGTCAAGGAAGATATTCTGTATAATAATATAGCTGCTTGAATATACATATGATGGGTTCAATGTTGGGATATCTAACGAGTCACCAAGACTATAAAAAATTCATGTGAAAGGTTGGTGGGATAAACAACGGGACTTGGTATAAATTAAGCAGAAATGAAAACAATGATGATATGGTGACGGTTGAATGTGGATTCAATTTCACAAGAAATTAGTAGGTACGGTAAAAAAAAATACTATATTTCATAATAGTATATGTTATAACTAGTGTTACCAAAAATCGGTCTTGGTCTTGCACTTTGCAAGACCAAGACTAAGACCGCCTCACTGTTGCAAGACCAAGACTAAGACAAGTAAAAAAAAAAATCGATTTTTGGAATAAAAATTAAGGCAAAATGACTGATTTAGATAGACAAAAAACAATCTCACAATTGTTATCCATTCAATGGTTGTTGTTTACTAAGATAGTTGAATAGTCCAAAAACTATGTAATATATATATGTATTTTGGACGGGGTGGCCGAACGGGCTAACGTGTGTGCACAGCACCACCGTTGCCCGGCAACCTGATTTATGAAACAATGGATTTAAAATAGTCACGAGTTCGCGTCCCGGTGCCGGGGGAGTCTTTTAAATCCCCGCCCACACCCCTGGCTCGGGAAAACCTCGTATAGCCTTAAAGGCGAGGAAGGGTATGACACAGTCTTCAAGTCCAAAAACAGTATTAAAAGTTTTGGAAAGTAATTTATAAACACTTGGTGGACCTTTGTATTAATGATTGAACAAGTTTTACATTAATATTCCAATGTATTCTTTCATCGATTTTCGACAATTAAATGGCTCCTATGTTCTTATTTATAGATGCATACAACTTAACTGATATGGATGCTTACTAGAAAAGTAGGTACGGCTAATGAATATAAGAATATTGTATAGAAAAAATTCAAATTAGTGTTTTACAATGGCATAGATTAACATCAGAAGTATAAAAGTATAGAAGTAGCGAGAATGACCATTACATGGTTTAAAAGGGAATTTAACGTAGTTTCTAAATATGACGATTCCAGCTGCTAAAATTCGCAAGTTTAGGATTTATTCTATTTTGGTTTATTATTTTCAATAATGAACCATTGTGATCGACCAAAAAATTCAAAAACTTAACCCCCTCTCAAATTTTGAGGTTTCACGTTTCAGGATGCTTAGAATTCGAAAAACGAATAAAAACTTTTTTGTCCGTCCGCTCATTTTCTCGGAAACTACTGGACTGATTTTTTAAAAATTTGGATATAAAATCAGAGGTCACCAGAGGATGATCCTCCTTCATTAACATTACAATCCGCCTTTTACTTTCGAAATGGCGGCCGGAAAACCTGCGTTGCTATAGACTGTAGCTCTTAAACGAATGTACCGATTTCAATGAAACTTCGCTGAAGTCATTTTCTCGAGGCCCTTTAAATTTATCTATATAACATACTTCAACGAAAAAAAGCTGGGAAAAAGTTGCGAGGGATGGTAAAATTAAATTCCGAATAACTCAAAAAGTTTACACTTTTTTGTAGATATTGTAATAAGATGTTTCAAAGGTATTTAAATTTCTTAAAAAATGAAGGAACTTTCATCGAAATCAAAGCACTATTAGAGATATCGCGATTTTTAAATATGTTTGTTTTATTATTTTCAATAATCAACCATTGTGGTCGACCAAAAAATTCAAAAACTTAACACCCTCTCAAATTTTGAGGTTTCACGTTTCAGGATGCGTAGAATTCGGAAAACGAATAAAAATTTTCTACGAAACTACTGGACTGGTTTTTTAAAAGTTTACGGAATTTCCTAAAAAAAAATCGTTAAAATCGAACAATTAGGAGCAAAGATATGGTCTCCACTATTTTTTATATGTTATATTCCAAATGTCATATTCTTTGGTTGGTTTTTAAATTTTTATTGTGTTGCTGAATCAATGCTATTTTTTTCTTAGCATACTGCTAATGATTAAAAAAAAAAGTTTAGTCTAATAACTGGAATCACCTTTTATTTATTTTTCTTTGTAACTAGGAAGGTAATGTTACTTTTGATGTATAATTGTTTTGAAATAATAAACCATTGTGAAATAATTTGCAGTGGTTTTTTTTTTTAGAAAAAACTATGATTGAAAAATAATAATCATTTAAAAAATTGTGTTTTTTTACTTTTATAAATAAGCTGAAGTGAACGGTGGGATTGGTTTACGTTCATTAGTAAGGAAGAGAGGTTATTTGCCTAATTTTAACCCAAGAAGGTATGACATCTAACGATTTTATTGTACATAAAGTAGATGCAGAATATCACATAAAATGTAACTTATTTTTAGTAACTCCATTCATAGAAATTTTTTTTATTTATAAAAAACGCATACATTAGTGAATAATTAACATTAACAGTTTCCTCGGTTTTATTTACTTTACTAGTGTGATTTTGAAACCAAAATTATTCCCAATTACGGAGACACGTGTAATAAATAACATATTAAATTACTTAATAACATAACTTAATTCTTGTAATTGGATAACATTACATGAAATTAAGAAATCCAATTCCAAGGAGGTTTTTTTTTATTATTATTTTAATCGAAGAATTGCTAAATATCGAAAATGCGGACAAAATTGTAAGCTTAATGTTTATTTGTGGGATATAAAAAATCGCGGTATGCTTCCTGATAAAGAAAAATCAATAATCATAAAGATAAAAATTCAGCAATTCTTTGAACAGAAAGTTCATCACATACATAGCACCATCATCTGGTTATAAGATTAACTTAGACAAATTCGATAATTAAGTTTCAAAAACAAGAAAACTTTATCTACATCTATCCGTGGTGCTCAATTTTTCTTTTGTTATATTGTAAGTAAAAGCAGAATCATAAACATGTTAAATCTTATTTTTTTTCTGACTGTGTTTATTACTTCTCTTTCAGCATTTTTCTTGTTATTTTTCTAAAACTAAGTCAAGTAAATAAATGTCAAGATTCAAGTATTCAAATATTCCGAATGAAATTTAAATTTTTTTTTATTTTTTATGACACTACTGAAGTTTAATTTGCACATTATCATACGATTTTTTTTACAACTTATAATATCTTGATGTAATATTTTTTAAACTATTTTTATCTAACTCAGCGACCCCCAAAACATTAAAATCGACTATAGTATAATTTTGTTCACCTAAATCCGTAATTTAGCCCACTGTGCGGCACACCGAACCCAGCACCGTCTCTCCATATTTCATATTAGTACTTCTAATATACTTTTAATATTTTATATTACTAATGTTAATATTTTATATTAACATTGGTAATATTTCATATCAGTATTGTTAATATTTGTTATCAATATTATTAATATTTATTGTGTTTATTATGAAATGCATTAAATATTACATGAAAGCAAATGTTCGCCAATAGATTTTCAATACGTAGGACTAATTTTCAGTATCAGCTTACCCTAAAGTACCTTTAATATTTTTTATTTGAAACAATTGAGCATTTCACATTAATCTCTAGTATACACGATAGTTAAATATAAAATATGAAAGAATTTGATAATTAACTAAAGGAGAAATAAGAGATCGTAACGGAGAATAGTAATTGAGGAACGAAAGGAATACGAGAGCACCCGAGTTCGCCCGA